CGTTTTCCAATTTTGCTTGTTTTTATTTTTTTATGAATGTCAATAAAATGTTATTTGTTCTGTAAAAAAGCTGGGCATTAACGAATTAATAAGTTAAAGTTAAGTTACTTTTATGAGTTTTAACTAAGTTAATTTACGAGTTACTTTTTTTCTTATGTTATTCAGTAACTTAAGAGTTAATTAATTTTATTTTGCCACGTTAAATTAATTTTTATCCTAAGCCACAGGTTTAAAACTAATTCAATTTTGTAAAAATTAATTTTATAAAAAGAGAATCCGAAATATTAAATATATTAATTGGTAAATAATAATTAATAATTATTATATTGCATAATCACAGAAAATATTACATAACTATAACTATATTGTAGACGGTAATGTTATAAGGGTTACTGTTAATATTACTTTCTTACAATATTGTATCGTACCTATATTGTTGGAAATTTTAAATAAAAATATGGATAGGTAACTATTAACTATTAACTTAACTAATAGTACCTAACACATCTCATTCAAAATGGAAACATTTAAATAAATATTTTAAAAAAACGTCGAGGGCCGCGAAAACAGGCCGCGGGTCCATGTACAGATGAGTTTGTATTATAAGTATAACTATTAGTATACAAATCAAAAATGTACAGATTAATAAAAAATTAATTTAAAAAAAAAAAAGATTTTTTCTTGTTGGCAATGCACAATATATCTTATAAATTGACCAGTTACAGAAGTAGTTAGTAGTGTAAAACGGTAAAGAGAATGGATAGAGATCATGGACTGAAACTTGAAGTACCTATTATGTTTTGAAAGGTTTGGTAAATTATTATTTTATAATGATTATTAAAGTATGAATGTTGAAAAGCTTAGTTTTTGGTTGCATTATTTTACTTTTAATATTCATATGATATACCAAATACAGCTCACTAGGTACTGTCTACTAAAATTATAAAATACATAAATACATAAGAACACAACATTTGTAAATATTATGACTACGAGGTGTGTGGGGGGCAGAGCCTCCCACTATTGAATTCAAATACATTTTCAGAATCCCCCCCATAGAAAATTCCTGAGAACGCCACTGAAGTCCGTACAGGACCTCTTCTCATTTAATTTTTTTGCATCCTTAATAAATTGCATTCATTTTTATACATTTTCTAATACATATATTAGGCGGTGATACACACAGTTCAGTAAAATAAGGTGGTTCAATTTTAACCAAAGCTCATCCACCCACCCACCCAATTCATCATTCAAAAACGGAAGAAAATATTTAAAACACCAAACCACACAAAACCGCTAGCTTCGTTTGCAAATTACATGTATTTTATTAAGTAATTAAATATTTTATTTTATTGGTGTATCGATTTCAATCATAGTTACTGATCAGTAAGTCAGTTACTATGTTCGCAAACATTTTGATTGCATGTTTGCATACAGTAATAATTTATATTATACAATATAAACAATTATTTTAGTTCTCACCAATTTACTATTTATGATCTATATATAATATAATAGCTAGACACTTGACATTTTCAAGGTATCTTCGTATCACCATGTAATGGTGTACTAAGTAAGAGGTTTCCAAAATTATCATTTTAAAAAGGTGATCACAAAAAGATTTTTAAGTTTCACGATAGATCATAACTTTTAGATTCTGAGTGAAACGATGAATGTATTGATTTTACAATGATGTGTTTTTATTTTTATTTAATTTTTTTTTTGTGTCTGTCATCACCTTTTAGGACAGTAAAAGTGTTTGGATTTCAGAAAATATTGATATTTTTAATGATTCTTTGCCATCATTAATTCTAAAACTCAAAAATTGTACTTGTTAATATTTTCTTTAGCTTATTCTTTATTCGTGTACCAATGTTATTTTTTCTTACCTTGTAATATTATGTAATATCTTCTATTATAATCTGCATACTATACTAATGCCCCTGATGCGTCGATAAATAATAATAAATAAATAAATAAGTTTAGACTTTTCTCCTAGCTCAAATCTGAAGTCCCGAGACTCGGTAACGAGATGACCTCTGGCCGAAAAGGGGAGAGAATCGTCGGAACACGCTACACGCCCTTACGCACCATGGTCCTGTTCTCATAAAATGTTTAATATGTTGTGGTTTTTTCCCTTTAATTATATTTAATAGTTATTATACCAATAATGATTATATATTTATTTTTTATTATTTATAAAATCGTAAAACCAAACAACAGTATGATTTGTTGAGTACTAAAATGAGATTGAAGACAGAATTTCTATTTAGAAATTTATTTGGAAAATATACAATACCAGTTTTGCAACAATTAATTATTTATATTTTTCATTTACTGAATTAGTATAGTTAGTACTATAGTACTAGAGTACTATAATATATTAATATAGTTACATATTAGTTTTGAACCTAATTATGTCATAATATATTCTCTGGTCTTATCTTAATAGCATCAATGACAATAGATGCACCCAAAGGCCACAATAGATAGTAGATACCTACAATATCTTACTGAAACTAAATTATATGTATTATTAATTATTATGAGTTCCCATTTTCCCAATTTGAAATATAAATTCATTATACAAGGTGTTGCACGATAAATGTGTCAAACTTCTAGAGGTGTTTCTACACTTCAATTGGAACAAAAAAAGTCCTCGTGACCATAGTCGCATAACTATCAATAATAAGGGTGATAATTTCCATGTTTGGGTTTTTTTGGTTAAACGCAAGTTTGATTCATAATAATGTCCATATAATTATTTTTTAAGGCAGGAGGACTTTTTTTGTTCAATCTGAGGTGTAGAAACACCTCTAGAAGTTTGACATATTTATCGTGCAGCACCTTGTATAGTTCATATAAATTAAATAATTACAATTTGTAATATACAATTCTCACATAAGATTATTTAGTAAATAACCGTAATATTTTAAAATTAAATCGTATCTTTTGTTACTAATAATAATAATCGTGGCCTGTATTGTTTTAATTTTTTTTTTTGAATTGGTGCTTGACGCTTGTAAGAGTAATGTCGTCTGTTGCATAACGATGTACAATCGTCAATCGATAAACAAAGGGATTGTCCCGTGAATTTATAATAAATAAAATATAAATCACCAATTAAAAAGCACATAATCTGCTAGCGTTGTCACTCGCTCGCTGCGCTGAGCTCGGACAAAAAATCGAAAATATCCCACGGTTTGTTATGTAAAACCACCTTGGGTAGGCCTCAGAATTAAACAATGTTGTTAAAAAGGAATTATCTTCAGGTAGATGACAGGCCATAATGGTTACCTATATTAAAAAAAAATAATAAGATTTATTAGGTTATACGTATAGCCTATAGGCGCTGCACGTGACAGTCAAGTAGAGTTGCGCGCAAACACATACACGTAAAATCGCAAGCTTTGGAAGGCTATAACTTCTAAAATAATAGTTTCCGGTAAAAAAAATTCGTCAATAAACAATAAGTCGTTTGAAAAAAATTAATTGAAAATCGTGAGGACCGAGGGGGTTGGTAAAGTGCATTTTAGCCCGATATACATAATATGTTGTATTGTGGAAAATAAACTTTTACACTTTTTATTGTATAGGTACTTCAGTAGATTTCACATTTGAATACAGCAGAGCGACATCAACTTACCCACCTTTTTTAAATTAATATTTAATATTATAATTGAAGGGGTCAATGGATAAAGGTGTTAACTAACATTTTTGAAATTGAAAAGTTAACATACACTACCGCTTTTATCCACTACAACTAATGATCAATTCTTCTTATAACACGTAGGTAACCATAACTATTATTGGTAACCACTAAATAAACTCTTATCAAATTGTGATATAATGTTTATAACGTTATAACACCCCTTTTCATGCAATAAAATGCATTTCTGAAAAAATGTAGTTAACACCTTCATCCACTGACCCCTTCAATTCATAATTCACTATTCACAATATAATGTAAATACAAACCACAGATATCACGGACTAAGATATCTTAGTCCGTGTCCGTGACAGATATTGTATTATCTATGATACAAACGTATAATCACAGAATAGATTAAAATAGTAGTAATAATAGCACAGATTTCTATATATTACTAGATAGCGAACTCCGGTCATGAATTGAAGCTTCAAGGTCGGTTGGCAATTGTATGGTATTTCATATGACAAATAAGATGATATTATGATTTATTTTATATCGTATTTTATTATTTTTAAACATTTAGTTTACAAAAAAAAAAAAATATTTTATATAAGTCATTTTACATTTACTATTTTATTTGACCGTTAAAAAAAATATTATTCCTAATACATTTTGTATAATAAATGAAATGTTTTGCCAACCGACAAAATGGCGGCCGTTCACAGCTGAGCTTCATTTGTAACAATGTAAATTGTATAAGAGTTCCTTATCTAGTGTAGTATAGAAGTCTGTGAATAATAGTAATAATAGTAGTGATAACACGATCTCCGAGCCGCCGCGAATCGCGATTGCCATAGATTATAGAATATAAATTCTATATTTCTATGCGATATTGCGATTGCCTCGTACTTCGACGGCTCGGCGAACAGGCGAAAGTCAAAAATTATATTCCATACTTGCATTTTACCTAAATATATGTATACAATATAGACTGATATCTGTGCTCCGACAATTCTACATTCTTAACTATCATTTAGTTAAGCATCGCCATTCAATAGTATTCACCGGTTTGTAAATATATTAAATAATAAATTCTTTTTTATACCTATGTAATTATGTGGTTTTTATAATATAATTTGTTACTGGGATTGTAGGATACAAGTCAACAAGGGTGTGATTGCGATTCAACCACAAACCCCGTACTTAGTGATATTTTATAATATACATCATACAAGCACGAACCCCTGATCGTTGTCGTCCATGCGCATCCAACAACTGAAGGTAACAACCACCAGCTGCGACTCCGGCCTTCATCGTCTAGTGTTACGCAGACTCCTCGTCAGTCGCCATGTCAAATGATCTGAACCGGCTTCAACTGTTGGAAAGTGTATTCAACAGAGTGACAGAGTTTGCACGTACTGTTCACAGCATACTGCCCACCATCAGAGAGTGTGTTGAACTGCATGAGAGACTGTTGGACTCCATCGGTCGCATTCTGTCTCTGTTGCAGCTCATACGTGACGGTCTCAATGGGCATACGCCTGGACTGACAAATGGACGGTCGAAGGGTTGACAGATGGTTGATACTAACCCACGTCAATATAAGTCTTCCAGAGAGCTCGATCGAATAACTAGGTACATTATTATTTGTCCCTATAGTCGACTTCATAATATGTAATTTTTTTTTTTCTTAATTTGTTATTTTTTGAGTGTCAGTGTTCTTTGAGTACAATTTCTCTATCATATAATGTTTGAAAGAGATTTGTTGATCCTGAAAACATGAAAATACCCTATATTTTGTCTGTGATATAAATCTTTTCTTATCTTTAATAACCCTTGTACATCGTTAAAGTGTGTCTTACAGAATTATTATCATCCAATAATAATTTTTCAATAAAATGTTATTTACAGGGTTTATTACAATAATATATGGTATTACAATCCCAACTCAAAATATTTATATGTAACCTAAAGCATATTCTTGCATTCAAATACGTTTTATTAATATGTAATGTTATCTATTTATGTTTTTTAAGAATAATTTCCAAATATATTTCTTCTAAAAGCTGGATCATTGTACAAGTTGCATAAACAAAATAAAGTTGTGGGAGTGCACAAATACATTTGTAAACCATTATACAATATTTTTAATATTTTTATAACTATTGAAAACTCCAATTAAGTATTAATAACAAATAGAAATAAATATAAGCAAATAAAATGTTGAATATTTTTTTAGGTGTTAAAAAAATAATAAGGAATTGATATAGTTTATATCTTATTATTTGTTGATATTTGAATAAAATGGGTTCAGTGAAAATGTATAAATGTCTAGAAAATCTAGACGAAGTGTGTCTTAAGATTGCCCTAAACATCTAAATTATAAGTAATATAAACAGTACTTTTATACAAAGACAAATTCAATTTTTTTCCTATCAGGATCAATCACAATATTATATCTAAATGTTGCACTAATCAGTTGTCAGTTCCAAGGTAAACATTAACAGAGTTACAAGTTTCTTGCACTGATATTTAAAAAAACAAACCTTATCTCCATAACAATGTATCTTTATTCTAAATCTCCATTTCACAATTGTTTCCTAATTTTTGTTTTACCTATTTAAATAACATTTATTGATATTTTCTTTCTAGACGTTACATTGTTACAATCAAACAGTAGCTATTATTATGGTATGATAATGGTATGTGGTTTTTGTATGTCTATAAATGGAGCATTGCAGCTAAACTAAATCTGATTGATGTTTCTGATGTGTTAAAAATAAAAATGTCTAACCTTCTATGCTAGGCTAATAAATATGTACCTACAGTTTAGATTAATCACCCCAAAGAAATAATAAGTAGTTTAAGCATAAACATTTTCCCCATTTTTTTTGTAAAGGTACCTTAAAATATAAATATTACTGAATTTATTTGTACTATGAGAATAATAGTTAATAGTTATTGTAATAAATTAATATTTATGTGTAAAAAGTTTAATTTATATGTACTAAATGTGGTAGCTTGTTAAAACTAATTTTTATTTTCATTTCATTTCAAATTTGTCACTTCTATTAAATACCTGTATATTTTTTACGGATGCTATGTTAAAAACTTTTTAACACCTATAAAATGTGCAGTCAATATTGTCTGAAGAGGCTTACAGTTTTCATATTTTTTTATAAAAGTTTAAATTCTAAGTATTGTAAAAAATAATGTGTAAGACTGGTGATGTTTAATTCCTAAAATTAAAATCATTATTTATGTTTAAATGTGTTAATTGATTATAAAATAATGTGTAATATTATATAAAAAGTATAATAATATACTCCATATTGTGTTTATGTGTGTTATAATATAATATAAAAAAATTGTTTCAATTTGATAAAAAAATGTATTCTAGACTTGTAATTATTACTTTTTAAATAGGCACAATTTATTTATTTTATTTTTAAATTCAGTGATTGCTATCGACTAGTACCTAATAAGTGTTTATTATGTGTGTGTACTGTACTCGGGGCTGTTTTTTAGATTAAGGAGGCAAAGCCCATTCTTTTTACTTAGATTTGAGGCATCCCGTTTAAAAAAAATAAAATATTAATAATTAATTCATAGTATTTATGTTTTATTGAAAAATAAGTAACAACAAACAAATTTAATAGAAATGAAGTATTAATATACTTAATATGTTATATGTAAATAATTGTTGAGGTGTCAAGCACATACAATGTGTCAAATATGGTAGGTAGGACAAGACTAAGGACTAAGGAGTACAGTTTGTAATACTATTAAAATTGAATTGCTGACATTTTCCCTCGACTGTTTTCGTTGTAATAGGACATTCTCCCCCCCCACAGTTTTTTTAAATTTTTCTATTTAATAATATAATATTATTATTTAATATGAAATTAATTTATGCCTATGTCAAATATTTTCGTAAATATAATAAATTTATGCAACACAACCAATTGTTAAATTGTTAAATATTCAAACTGGTAATTTAAAAAAAAAAACAAATAAGTTAAGAAATTTCAAAAGAATCAGAATTAAATGTTTTTTACAAAATGTATCATATTTCAAATTTTTAAATTGTTTCAAGTAAGTAGTTCAGTCGATTAAACATATAACTATATAAACATTTATAATCTATTATATTTATGAAAATAAAAACTATTTTATAATATATTTTATGTCTAAGGACAACCACCGAGCCACACCAGAGACCGTCCAGACCACAAATTAAATTTATTATTGTTATTAACCCATGAGGAAATACCTACTCAATACTGCATTAGTACCTTACTGTAGTAATCAGTAGAATGGTGTGAATAGGTTTATTGTATACCAATTATACCATATACTGATATACCTAAATAGGCAATAGCTTAAAATTAATCTAAATGTTTTAAAAAAGTGTATGTGTACCTGTCTAAAAAATAATATACGTAAAAGTTTTAAGTTCCCTCGAATAATATTTTTGGATTACAACAGAATAATTAAAATTTGTATTCTCTGTTTAAATATCTAATTTTGAACAAATAACAAATTTTAAATTGTCTGTTATAAATCGTGACAACGTGTACACATCTACTTACAGCAAAAAGTTTTGCGTATTTTAAAAACACTTGTAAATATATAGCAATAATTTATGTCAAGCTTCTGAATAAATTATCTTCACAAAGGGCTTGGTCAGTGGCGCAAATAGGGGGGGGGGGCTTGGGGGGACTTAGTCCCCCCAAAATTTGTAATAGTCCCCCCAAAAATTTTCAGCACTTTTAAAATTTTTTTGTTCTTGAAAAATAGTAAATACTTATTTACGAAACAATGTATGAAAAATGTTCTTCAGTTGAAGTATTTTCACAAAACAATTTTTTTTATAAAAAAAATACGTCTTGGTTTTTATTTGTATTGGTTAGTAGCAACACTGTGATATAACATTTGAATTACCTGACATTATTAGTACTGTAAACCAATCAGTGTATCCAAATCTATATAAACATTTACAACTTGCTATAACAATCCCAGTTAGTTCGTCTACATGCGAGCGATCTTTTGTACAATGAGAAGGGTCAAGACTTGGCTCAGAACCACCATGGCTGAAGATCGTTTTAGTTCTTTAGCTTTATTAAACATTGAAAGGGATTTATCAAACAAAATTGATTCTGAAGTAATTGTTAATAAATTTGCGGAACAAGACCGAAGGATTGTGCTAAAATAAATTATTTTGTATTGTTTTTAGTTATTAAGTTATGTAAAACATTATTAATAAACTATCAAGTTTTTGTTAGTATTTGTATGAAGTTAATTTAATGAATTTAATACAGTATGATTTTTTATGAAGAAGCCCCTCTGTTATATTTTTGAAAATTTATAAAAATATGTGGGACTTCAGTCCCCCCAAAACAATTGAGCTAGTTGCGCCTCTGGGCTTGGAAAATATTAAGAGGCGGCCCTGTGTGTACTAGTGTACAGTGTAATAGGTATACAATATTACAATCAGTGGCGTATTTAGGAATTTTTCTAGGGGGGGGATGAAAGCAATTCCGGAGAAGAAGCAATCCCGGAGAAGAAGCAATTCCGGAGAAGAAGCAATGTGAGCAACAGTTCCTTCTCCGCAGGGCTCGAAATGGACCGGAACGCACCGGAACGCAGTTCCGGTTCACGACAAAAAAATTTTTAGCGTTCCGGTTCGTAAAAAAAATACGTCTATCGTTCCGGTTCAAACAAATTTTTACTGTCACCTAAAAACCAAAACGAGAAAAAATGCTGCTATTTCATTAGAAGTACAAATTTTGAAAATTGGTAGAATTTTGTCAGTTCGATGGGTAGCATCAAGCAAACGGACAGTTAATGCAGTCTTAAATAATTTGTGTGAACATTTCAACTTGGCTTCAATGGACCCTACCAGAGACTCTAATGAAAGAAGTAAATACTGTGGATTGTTTAAAATGATAACAAGTATAGAATTTGTTAGTAATTTAAATACCATGTCTGATGCTTTAGACGAATTAGGAGATTTATCAGAATATTTACAAAAACGTAGTATTACACTATTACGTTAGTAGACGCTGATAAATCTATAAGAACAACAATACGTGTATTAGATTCTATGGCAACCGATCCGGGTCCAAAACTAATTGACGCATTAAAAGAAATAAAGAACAAAATGTCGTATAAAAATGTAATATTACACAGTGGCAAAGTTCCTAAAATAAATTCTGCACAATTTTACAAAAGCCTAGCTAATAATTTAAAATCTCGAATGATGACTTCCAGTTCATCAAATGTCAGTCGTAATGAAAAAAATCGCCAAGACAATGAAAAAACGTTTAAAAACTTACTTGATAATATTGAAAAATTGAATCCAAAAAATTGGCCACTTTCGAATGATGGTAAAAATATATTTAAATTTTTAAAAGGGCTGAAAATATAATGTGAGTTTCATAAAATAATAGACACAACTTATTTATTATTAAAAAAGGGTTAGTAATTTTGTTGGGTGAAGCCCCCAATTCTATGGTATGTACTATTGTACTCAAAAAAAAGCGTTCCGGTTCAGAAAATTTTCCATTTCGAGCACTGCTTCTCCGGCTCTCGATTAAACCGGAAAAAAAAAAAAAAAAGGGGGGGGGATGAAATATATAATAATACACCCATAAAAATGTACACAAT